CCTTTTGGCCAGTGGCTGTTTAGTTTCCCCGATGTAAGACTGATCACAGCCCTCCTGACACTGAACAGCATACACAACATTACTCTGTTTGTGCCGGGGGACTGGATCTTTGGGATGAACCGGCACGAATGGCACAAACAGAGTAATGTTGTGTATGCTGTTCAGTGTCAGGAGGGCTGTGATCAGTCTTACAATACGGCAAAGACTGGTTCATCTCAAAAATGTTGGATTTTTCTTAGATATTATTACTGTTTTTCTTTTACATTTTAATACTTTTGTTGGATGTAACTGGGAAACCTGTGTACACAATTTCGTTCCACCACATGTACTACATGTGGTGTGTATGACAAATAAAGAACCTTGAATCCTTGAATATGTATATGTAAGGTATTTCCTGCTTGAGCCACAGTTTTACCTCAATAATCCCTGAACTATGATGAATGCTTGAATGCTTCCATGGATGTAAAGCTGTATCGACGACAATGATTATCTTTAATATTTATTTATTTAACTGCTTAGTACTGAAGAATTTCTCCTGGCTCAGACATTTTACTGTAGCCAAACATAAAACAAGTAAGTATCCCTGAATGATAAATTTGATGAAAAGCGTGCAAAAAAGAAACAAACGCCAAAAACAAAAAAAGCAAATTGTGTATTGAGTGTATCATTGAAACAATCCTTTTTGTGACATCAACTGAAAAGTTGCAGTCTTGGTCTACCAGTATTTTTGGAGGGGTAAAATATTTTGGCGGCACGGCAGATTAACTGTAAGCACTGTTGCCTTGCAGCAAGAAGCTCCTGGTGTCTTTTTGTGTACAGTTTGCATGTTATTGTGTTTGCGTGGGTTTTCCCTGGGTACTTTGGTTTCCTCCTACAGTTTAAAACACACATATTTAGCTGCCTTTAGGACTAGCGTGCAAAAGAGATCTGTGATCTCAATGGGATTTTACTGGTTAAATATAGGTTAATTATAATTTCAATAATTAATACAAAATAGTTAAATAATCAGAAAAACTGACCATAGCATGCTGGTCTATAGGTGACCAAAACTTTATCTATGTTCATTGCACTAACAAGAAGGGGGATCATTCAACCTAATATACCGTAATTTCTGCCGTACTTGTCGCACTGCCCTATAAGTCGCATCAGTCCAAATACGTCAAAAAACGTGGAAAAATCCAAAAATGTGTCGCTTTGCCGTATAAGTCGCATCTATTATGCGTCACTGCTGACGTGTCACATTTGTTACACGTCACCGCTGACAACCCGGAAATGTGGGCCAAACCCAGAAATGTGCAGGTGTTGTGCGAAAAATTGATGAATTGTCAAATGGCAGCCGTGGGAGCATGCACAGGAGAACTTTAACAAAATTAACATTTAAAAACAATTATTTGTTTGCTCAAGATTATAGTAAAGGTGTGTCTCAGTCTAACTTGCACTTTGACGGTCAGACCAGCTGTATTTCAAAACCTGATACATGAAAGTAAACGTGTTCACTCAACGAGCATCTGTGCAAATTGAACAATATAACCACCTAAAAAAATTATTTGTTTGATTTTTTTTTCCTCCCAGGCTCTCATCGAGGTGGCAGCTTCTGTTTTTCCTCCCCCTTTTTTCCTTCTTCCTGCACTGCTCTCTGTGTGTCTGAAGCGCCTGGGTCTCATCTCCCGAAATAAATTAAGAAGAATTTGGATTTGGTATCGTAGGCGTTCAACTCTATTGATAAGATTTTTTTCATCAAAGCCACAAGGTCCTGGAGAACTGGTGTGTCCGGCTGAGACTCACACTGTGGGGTACGTCATGGATTCATGGGGAGTGTGGCAGATGATGTGTCTCTCAGTTCTGTCTCAGGAGGATGTTGAAGACGTTTACATATTTGGAATTATGATAGCAGGGACTCTGCTTTTTGACATCGGCGGGGCTGTTTTATCGACTTTTGAAGCAGACGGCGGCAGCAGTTTCGGCCATGGTAAAGCTTCCAAGTCAGTGCGAAGGACTGATCCTCGCTGTGGGAACTTTGAATCGTCTGGTTTATGAGCTTAACCGTAAGGTGGAGGCGACTGAGAATCGCAGGCCACTGCGGCTTCTGGGACTCGTCAGTGTGGTGGGTTCAACCTTGAAGGATACTCATAGCATGGATCAGTGGAATGGAATCCCACAATTAGGCATTTTTGGAACCAGAACGCCCAGATGGACTCAAGGCTGAAGAAAAAAGTAATCTGTCTGCTTGAAGAAAAACAAGAATCAAGCTGATCTGAATCTGACTCCCGACGACCTCGGAGACAGGCCGACTATCAAATTTCTCCTGTGACATGAGTACCCAAGGACAAACGCTTCATTTATTCCACCTATGGGCTGCCTCAGTGCTCCGGGAGCGTGCAGACAGAGGGAAAAAGGAGAAGGAATGCTGCTTGTTTCTTCAAAAGTTAACAAGAAAAGCACCTAAACAATTATTTGTTTGCTCGAAATTATAGCAAAGATGTGTCTCAGTTGAGCTTTTACTTAATAAATGCACTTTAATGGTAAAAGTAGCTGCATTTCGCCGGGGTGGTGTAGCAAAATGAAGCTGAGCTCCAAGCAGCAAGCAGAAAGAAGGTGGGGGGAATATGACAAGTTGATTTTGTCATTAATAGCTGGTAAATATTCTTAGTCATCCAGGACATGGGTAAGTTCTAAAAAGTTCAAGACAAAAATAATAAAGTATAAAGTATAGTATAATAAATAAAGTCCAGTTGTTTTTGTCTTGAACTTTTTTGAATTTGTCATTATAGCCACGTTTACCTATTACATGATACAACGGCATGCCTTACTACTACTACTACTACTATGCTGCCATCAAGTGGCTGAAAGTGGAACTGCTCAAATTTTTTTTCAGTCAGAATGAATGAAAATCTGTTTACCAGTCTACGTTCCTACCCTCACCTATGGTCATAAGCGCTGGGTAGTGACCGAAAGAATGAGATCATGGATACAGGTAGTTGAAACGAGTTTTCTCCACAGGGTTGCTGGACTCTCCCTTAGAGATAGGGTGAGAAGTTCAGTTATCTGGGAGAGACTCGGAGTAGAAATGCTACTCCTCCACGTCGAGAGGAGCCAGTTGAGGTGGTTCGGGCATCTGGTAAGGATGCTCCCTGGGCGCCTCCCTAGGGAGGTGCTTCGGGCATGTCCAACTGAGAGGAGACTCCGGGGAAGACACAGGACACGCTGGGGAGACTATGTCTCTCGTTTGGCCTGGGAACGCCTTGGAATCCTCCCAGAAGAGCTGGAAGAGGTGGCTGTGGATGGATGGATGGATGGATGGATGGATGGATAGATGAATGGATGGATGGATGGATGGATGAAAATACAGTATCTCAGCCAAAAACTGGTTTATAAATATGGGGAAAAATCCAAAAATATATTGCTTCGGCCTATAAGTTGCAGGGCATGTAAGTTATGAAAAAAGCGCGACTTATAGTATGAAAAACACGGTAGTTCAAAAGCTTCCTCTCCAATAGTATGGCAGTAGTTAACGCATCTGGATTGGCACCATTGATAGACACATATATACAGGACAATATATACTCCAATCCAGACAACATCTATTTCAAGGAAAATCTTAAATATGTCATCAAGAAAATACAGTAGTAAACCTCGTACAGTACTGTATACAAAAGCATGAAGTCATGGTAGAAGAGGTTCTGACCTGGTCTGCATACAGTCCAAACTTTTCAATAATAGCAAACGTTTGTTGTTACTAACATAAACAACTAAACAAATTAATTTAACTGTCCTCTAAGACAAGAGTCCATACAAAGGAACAAAAATGGTATTGATTATAACCATTCACATGCACTCTGATACAAATGTACAGAACCTATTCAGTTTCAGTCTACTCACCAAAATCAGCTAGTTTGAGCTCCCCGGTGTCACTGATGAGAAGGTTTTGTGGTTTCAGGTCACGATGAAGGATGTACCTCTGGTGGATGTAAGACAAGCCTCTTAGCAGCTGGAAGAGGAAGAGCTGAAAAACAACAAAAAAAAAACAACAGATACTTTCATTGCAGGACTAGACTAACACCAAGATGACAGTGGGATGCAGTTGCAGTTTACAAATCAAAATGTTAAGGAAATAGGCAAAATTATCAGTTACAGTCTCTGAATTCTGAATGTCTGCAACAGAAGGACTAACAAGCCACAGTTTGACCAGCCAGTTTTTTGAAAATCACAGCCTATTTTTGTGTACACAGCTAAAAACTATACTCTGGGCCATGAGCAATGTTTCATTGTTCACCTTTGCCCAAATGGTCTCTGCCTAACCACTTTTTGTACCCACCTTGTCAGCCACTCCACAATTATGATTCAGTTTACTTAAGTACACTCTAAAAATAACGAGTTACTATTATTTATCTTTGAAGTAATGCATAGGTTTTTGGTCTGTGGGAGGAAACCAGACTACCCGGAGAAAACCCACGCAGCATGGAGAGAACATGCAAACACCACCCAGAAAGTCTCCGGCCTGGGATTTGAACTCGCAACCTTCTTGCTGAGAGGCAGCAGCTCTACCAACTGCGCCACAGTTTCAAGGCAATGGTATTATTTGGTAGAAATACATGTAAATATGCAGCACGCTGACGAAGTTGGTAGAGCTGCTGTCTCGCAGCGAGAAGGTCGCCGGTTCAAATCCTGGCAGAGCACCTTTCTGGGTGGAGTCAGCATGTTCTCTCTGTACTACGTGCGTTTTCTCCAGTTACTCCAGTTTCCTCCCACAAACCAAAAACATGCATGTTAGGCTGATTGGTGAATGGTTGTTGTCTCATTTGTCTCTGTGCGTCCCTATGATGGACTGGGACCTGTTCAGGTGTCCCTGTGATGGACTGGAGACCTGCATGTCCAGGGTGTCACCCGCCTCTCGCACAGTGATGGCTGGACATGGGTGCCAGTGACCCCCACAACCCAAAAAGGAAGAATCACATCAAGATACTGGATGGATGGAATTAGATTTAGACATTTGAGGCTGTTGTTTTTGTTTTTTTCTGTGAAAAGGAAGCAGGCAAAAAAACAACTCAAGCACTGTAGAATGTGAAAAATAAATTGAGAAATGTTTAAGAAAGGTTGATTCGGAAGAGGATTAGGGCCACGGAGCAAATTACTGTTTTTGAGGGAAAAAAGTCAGAATTCTGAGATTAAAGTCAGAATATTGTCTTAATGTGTTTAACAGCAAAAAGGGGTCCATTCAATATTTGGTGGGTTTAAGGCTGATCAGTCTATATCAGTGCACTGAAATGTGTTTCCTACTCAGTGGTGTTTACAGAAAATACTTCAAAATATAGAATATCGTTTTACAGGTTACTTTGTAAAATAATTCATAAAAACACTAAATAGCTAAAGGCCTAGAATTCCTTGAAATAATGCATATCGTCTATCTCCGATTTTCCATTAAAGTCAGAGTTTTACAAAAAGGATTATTTGTCGTGGAGAAATGACAAAGTTGGCTCTTTGTCAGTCCTTAAAAATAACTATGTACGATCTCATGCAGACTTATGAAACGTCACACTCAGATTATATGTTGAGGCTGACGCATCACATCTGAACTTAAAATTGGTTAAATTAACTAAGAAACAGCTCTTCTTGTGCTGGCCATTGTTTATTACCTGTGGTGCACATTACATCTTTCATGGGATTAACTCAACATGTATAGTAGTATATGCAATGATTTATGTCTAAATGTATTACCACCATCTGTCCAGAGAATCATGACACATTTTGCTGCAAGACAAAAAGGGTTGACCCCAAAGTTCTTGCACAATGAGTAACTCTTGGATTAGGTTTGTTAACAACAATGTTCAGCACAATAACTAAAACTGTTATAGCTATTTTTGAGACAGGAAAGAGAACAAAATTATTTAAATTTTACTGCTAATTCATATACTATACAGCGAGAATTATACAATACTTCTTTACATAAAGAGTTACTACCTTATTTAGATCCATAATATCACTTTAGTTTTAAAATATAAACCTGCTCAAAAGTGAACTGATTTATTTATTTATTTATTTTTGCTGTTGCTTTGCTGGTTTTAGCTTTCAGCTAAAGATTGAACTTTTTTAAATTTTTCTACCTGGATTATTGAGCATGCATCAGGATATTTTCAGCTACTGGTTTGATAATTGTAACAATTGCAACTGTTATGCTAATTTTAGGCTTTAGGTACAATTTTGTTGGTTTTAGCTTATATAAAGAAAGAAAGTACTGTGTGTTGTCATCATTGTGTACAATGTATACATTCTATCCACATTCTTCCTGGGAGCTCTACTGTACGAATGATCATGGGTACATCTTCCTGTCAAACAGAAAGCAGCAGTAAGCATTAGTTAACCCTAGCAGAGCATGGGCCACAGTTTATTTGAAAGTAATTTACATTTAGTTTAGCAGATAAAACTCTGTTTTTGTTTTGTTTACATTTATCTAACAACCATAAAGTTTAGCCATGCTGAGTTCAGGTACCTGTTGTGTTCACAGCTGCAGAACAACCAGACCAAACTAAATCAGAAGCTACAACAACAGAGTCTGAACACGGAGCCAAAACAAAAAAAGAGTGTTCCTGTAAAAAGAACTGTAGTTTCCATCTCCTACCTACAGATGAGGAATTGAAGAAGAATATGTCTGAAAAATGTGAACTTGAAGAGACCACCCAAATTCTCTGTACAGGTTAGGACAGGCATTTTGGGTTTTCATGAGCTGTATGCCATAATCATCAGTATTAAAACAATTAAAGACCTGAAATATTTCAGTTGGTGTGCAATGAATCTGAAATATATGTAAGTTTCATTTTTATCATTACATTATGGAAAATAATGACCTTTATCACAATATGCTAATTTTTTGAGAAGGACCTGTATATGAGCTCATTTCACTTTGCTGACAAACAACTGACAGAGGAAAACCTACTTCCTACTTTGTGTTTGGACTACAATAAACCACCGGATTAGAGACGACGGATCCCCAGAATGATTGAAAACAGTGACGAGAATATCAGGGATGATTTTAAGTGTATGAAGGGCACAGCTTTATAGTATTTGTTTGTCTTCTGTATTACGATATTTTCTACAATTAACCCAAGCTCTGTGATGGAGGACTTTAAGGTTTTGGCTGGACTCTATGTCTGATTTAAGGTCAGTAAGGTTGTGTCCCACCTCTTTTAACAAAACACACCGACCTTATTACTGTGTAGATACTGATACTCATTCAACCTTTATTTAGACAGGTTAATCCCACTGAGCCTCGGGGACGCATTTACAAGTGAGACCTGATTTTACCAAAGAGTGATGACAACAGTGGATAACATCGACAAAAATAGACAGTCATAAAAGAGGCATACAGATTTTTTTTTTTTACAAATTAAAATAAAATAGCAACCAAAAGGACAGTCAAAAGGAAATAAGTAGCAAAAAAATAACCCCAACTAAATTATAAAGCAGTGTAGAAAACTAAAAACAGGAACATGTCTGCAGTGGTTCTTGCCAGGAACTTAACAGATGTTTAAAGCCTCTTAGAGAGGTCAAGGTCGAGAGCTTCAGATTTTTTGCAAGATATTCCAGGAAATGGGAACGGAGTAGGAGAAGGCCCTTTTGCTTAGTTCAGTCCTCACTGTGGGGACACTGCAGGTAATTATGTCCTGAGAGCGCACGCTGTAGCTGCACTCACGCAGAGACATGTAGGAGGAGATGTATGAAGGCATCAGACCAAGAAGTGATTTAAAGATGAAAATGTACCAGTGAGAGAGTCTGCGTGAAGTTAATGATGACCTCAGAGATGTCCTGACAAATATACCTCAGAGATTTTCAGGTTGTTCATCGCTACACCGTCAGAAGAACTGAGCCAGTGAAGTAGCTAAATATGCTAGTAGATGTAGCTAAATATGCTAGTAGATGTAATCTGCAGCCACTTCTTCAGCTTGTCCTCCATCCCTCGTCCTCAGCAGGCAGCAGTATGATTATATTGTCCTGTTTGAGCTCTGACAGGTGGTGTTCCTACATGTTTAAATTAAATCCACAATGCTCGACGAAACTACATTAGCTCGTACTGTTCACACAGAAACAAATGTTGCGTCTGGTCCGCACCGGAAGTCGTGCCCATAACTTATGCAAGGCAGTATGGGGTCTAGGAATAAAGTAGATATCTACTGTACTGCTAGTTTTTACTTTAAATACTTTTTGCTAGTATTAGCTTTTAACTGCTATTTTGATAGTTTTAACTTTTAGCTAATGTGTTGCTAGTTTAACTTTGTGTGTATTGTTTTTCTGGAATTGGCAACTGTTTTTTTGGTCTTAGCTTTTTAGCTACAGTCCTGCTAATTTTAGTCCTTAGCTTTTGTTTTGCTAATTTTATTCTTTTTCATCATTTTTTTTTTCTTTACGGTTCATTTTCAGCTTCATTAATAAATTCAGCACTCAATATTCAAGTAGCCTTTTCACAGAAAATGAAATGTTTATAGTTATGACTGCTTCAAATGTTTACTTTTTTTTTCCTCATTCACCCTCGAGCAAGACAGATGCCTTTTCTTCCCTCTACTGCCTTCCTCCTGCTTTTGCTCTTTGCCCAGTGTATCAAAACTTCAATTTACATATCTTGCGAATCATAAATTACTGTTATGAATTTGGTCCGTTGGACTTTCAATGCAATTGATAAAATTTTTTCAACCAAGCAACAGCGTGCTCAAGAACCCTCATGCACGTGGCTGGGTGTATCATGGATCCGTGGGGAGCGTGGAAGATGATGCGCCTTTCTGTGTTGTCTCTGGAGGATGTCAAAGATTTATACTAGGGATGAGGCCGATCCGATCCAGTATCAGCATCGGCCTCTGATACCAGCATAATTTACTTATCGTATTTTTCCGATCCAACCTGCAGAGATTTCCGATCCATGATGCATGTTGGCTTCAAACTATGGAATGGATTTCCTGAACGGAGGCATGTCTCATGAACCCAGAGTAATAAGACCCGCCTCACATTCAGGAAATC